CTTTATATCTATCACATCGACGTTTCTAAAGAGGCGTAATATATGAGGTGTCTTGTGGAGGTGGAGGGGATTGTGGATGGCTTGTGATTTAGCTACTTATTGCTGTGTTTTCAGCAGCATTTTAGGCTCCAAATGTGGGTGTTTTGTGGCGAATCGTCATCGTGTTTCAAGTAGCTTTGAGGCATGAAAGCAGTTGTTTTTTGCCGAGACACTGCTGCTTCTCCTGCAAGGATAGTGGCACAAAAAGCAGTTGTTTTTTACCGATACATTGCTGCTTTTCTTGCCAGGAATGTGCCTCCAAAACTGGGTATCTTAAGCCAAAATGTGATCTTGTCCTAACCATCATGAAGTTGTATTTGTGCCTAAACCTAACCACACATGAACTACAGCGTGCAATGAGAAATTTCAACATAGCCGCTACATGACAACATGCAAATGTAACGTATCTGTTGTTTGTTGAAATGTCCAATCCAACAGTTTTTTTTTTTTTTAGGCTCCAAACGTTGGTGTTTAATAGCAACCTGTTGTTTTTCCAGTGGCTTTTGGGCAGGAAAAGCAGTTGTTTTTTGCAAAAACATCGCTGCCATTCCTTCAAGGATAGTGGCACAAAAAGCAGTTGTGTTTTTACTGATACATTGCTGCTTTTCTTGCCAGGAATGTGCCTCCAAAACTGGGTATTTGACGCCAAAATGTGATCTTGTCCTAACCATCATGAAGTTGTTTTTGTGCCTAAACCTAACCACACATTAACCAGTGTGAAATGGGAAGTTTCATTGTAGCTGCTACATGATGACGTGCAAATGTAACATATCTGTGGTTTGTAGAAATGTGCAATACTGTTGGTATTCTTCTGGCAACTGGGTTAGGAGATTGCATCACCCTTACATTAATTCCCTGGACATGCCTAACTCCAACCCTAAACCTAACTTCATCCATAAAACAAGTCTTAGCCTTGAAACTCAGTGGTTTATCTTATGGGAACCAGCTTTTTGTGCGCAAATAGGAGATGAGTCCCTGTAATGTGACTGTGCAACTTGATTTTTGTCACCAAGTTGTGACTACACACACACACACACACATACACACACACACACACACAAACCTTTGCAAGTCTGAGACAGCCTGCCTGTGCTCTCCTCTCTGTACCTCTTCACTCGCTGTCACACACCTCTCCGTCTTATTCCCTGTATCCCCTTTTTACTTTCTTCTTGCCTCGTCTCTCACTGCGTTTCTCTCTTTTTGACTCTCTCCCTCCTCTTCCTCTTCCTCCTGCTCTCTCTCTCTCTCTCTCTCTCTCTCTCTCTCTCTCTCGCTGGGGATCCTAATTAAGCTTGGCTGCTCTTTGATGTTGTCGCCTTGGCAACAGTCACCATGACGAGGCTGGGTCTGCACACTCTCTCTCAAACTCACTCAGGCATACACAAATACACACAAGTACAGTACGCGCACACACACACACACACACACACACACACACACACACATGCACGTCCCTTGAAATCATTAAAGAATACAGGCAGCATTTGACCCTTGGTTCAAATGATAGCTTACACAATGACACAGGCGTGTGCGTAGGCCACATGTGTGTGCGCGCATGTCGGTTATGTGTGCGAGAACGCATGTTACAAGAGCAGAACAAGGGAAACACATACACCCTGCTGAGCTAGATATAGAGAAGGATGAAATATGCAGTGTGTGTATGAGTGAGTGTGTGTATGAGTGAGTGTGTGTGTGTGTGTGTCCATAGGTGGTTGAGGAAGTGAGCTTCAGTCTGACAGTGACCAGTTGGCGGTGGCACAGAGCGGCGGGCTGCCATAGCCGCTTGCTCAGACGTTTGACCTGTTATTGTAGTTTTTTGTTTTCCTAAATAAATGTTTGTGTGGGCTAAAAGCCCTCGAGATGAATCATGTGGTAAAGAGCAATTGTTAGCACAGGCTGTTACTCGAGGCAGAGCTGATTTACAGCAGGGGAGTTCCTCATTTCTCTCACTGTGCCCCGGCCTCTCTCTTCAGGAACTGTGTTATGCTTCTCTCTCTCTTTAACCTCTTCTGTTCTCTGCAAGGAATCTCTTATCAGGACATTTTGTTCATAATGGAGTCCCAGGCATGTTATGTTAATTAAAAAAATGCATGGAATTGCACAGATATTTTGCATGATTCAAACCTGTTTCTAATATAAATCACTGCCTCAAGAATATTATACAAGATAGGTCATTCCTCTTGATTTTTCTGAAGTATTATGTTTCTAGAAAATACCTTGAGACAGGGCTAAAGAATTTTACTGCACTGACAAAATCCCTTGTTGCAAGTAGATAAGTATTTATGTACCTAAATCTATAGTTGGTAACTTTTATTAAAATAAGTGTGTGTCATATTCGCTGTAACTGTCACTTTATTCTGTACATGAGACAGATCAACCGTTCTCATCCTAAATCGTCACATATCACAGCTTTGTCAGTGGTCTATATATTATACGCTAGGTATCCTTCTGCATCTGCTACTGTCATTCCAGGAAACTACCAACACTGGGATGTCAACAAAAGCACGGTTAGGTTTACAAAAAAACATCATAGTTTGGCTCTACATTCTTTTGAGATGTGAACACTGGGCTCCTGGTTGAAAGGGCCCACCCACCACCCCTCCCACCAGACCTATAGTGACTTTCCAGCTCCTTATATTATGTTGTTACAGCATTACAGCAGTGTTTCGACCTGGCACCGTCCAACTGCATATCATGCTGCCGCGACAGAAGCCTTCCACCCACATTATGAACTGACGCCACCCATCCACATATCATACTGCCACAACAGGTACTGTCTGGCTGACTGACCATGTATCACACTGCCCACAAAAGGTGGCTTTTGGCATCAGTTGTCTGACGCCGAAATCACCGACAAAGCAGCAGTATACGTCAACTTCAGCTTGGACAGATGGTGTGTGAAAAAAATCATGTCCCTCCTGTTCTCACTGCCTCTAACAGCATTCAGTATGGTTTCAGTCAACTGCGGCAAGGAAACATCAACCAATCAGAGACTTGGCTGTTTTCGGAAACATATTTTAGTGAACTGTTTAGCTGTAAAACGAGAATGTTACTGGTGGGTGGTGCTTGATACTCCAGGCAACTTTACCTGACATGGCAGCTGGGTCACAAACTTTCTTATTTCACAGATAAACAGTACACTAAAATACTGTATGTTTCTGAATTTTAGGCCATAAAAAGATAATGCAGTAACAGAATCTTGATTCATATTTGATCAGCGCTGCCTAGTTTGACAGTTAGACAGCAGTTCACAGACTGTGATTGACATGATTGACAGCTGCTTTAGAGACTCCTCAGATCTGATTGGTTGTCTTTGTTCACATGTGGTAAAACCAAGCGGCAACCTCCAGGGATGACGAGCGAAGCCAATGCAGAAGTGCCAAAAACTGCAGTTTGTTGAATGGCCACTTGAGGCAGGCTCCAAAAGTGAGTCAGTCCCCATAGACCTCCATGTTAAAATGCTCAACTTTACAGCAGAAATAAACATGTTTACAGCCTGGTACAAAAAAACAGTTTTGGTCTCTAAAGCTAATTTCTCCTTTCATGACAACTGTAAGGGGGGGTGAATTTTTTTTCATCCATTTAAATTTTATTAAGGCTTAAAATTGTGCATAATTAAGGGCGTGGTCACTTTGAGTTGCAGGTGGCACCATCACGGGTGGCTAACTAACCGCTGGCTGTCTGCTAGGCGTTGTCTCAGCTAATTTGCAAGTCATTGAACCTGACCTCTCAGCCGTGTTCGTGCCTTTTGGGTATTTAGTTTCGTGAGGGAGCTGGCACCAAGCGGGAGCATGAGCGGGAGCAGCCAACACCACAGGGATAGCCAAAGCAGAGTAGCTTGTTAGCCTAGCTTGTTAGCCTTAGCTAACTTAGCAGTTTTGAGCAAAGTGGGCGTGTTTAAGCAACCAGGCTTCGTTTGGCCTGCCTCTTTGCCCATTTTTGATTGGCCGGGAGTTGGGCGGAGTCAGGCACCGCCAAGATGGCGACGGCCAGCCTACATTGAGCTTCAAACCCGCTCCTCAGAAACCAATGGGTGACGTCACAGTGACTAAGTCCATATTTTTATACAGTCTATGGGTAAAACTATTAGAAGTGCTACAAGGCAATAGAATAGGCAGAGGATTATGATTTTTTCCAGAGTATCTGTCTCATTTAGTGCTGTGTGAATATAGTAATAGTTTCAAATTTAGTTTTTATAGAAGTTACTGACTAAAGCTTTAAAATCCAGCTTCACATGAAAAGATGCAGATTATTTTCAGCGCCCTTCGCTCCCTGACACTTCCTCGTGCCTATCTTTATCTCTTCATTTCCTCTGCACTTCATCCATCTCTTTCCACCACCTTCTCCTCTCATCAGCCACACCTCCTCACCCCCTCCCCCCCCTCCCCCCCCCAACACCACCACTTCCTGTCAGCACCGTCTGTAGGATGGCCCCTTTAATGAAACCTTGCTCTTACCACTTCCTTATTATCACAGCTTCAGCGACAATATTAAGAGTAACCACAGTAATTATACAAACACAAAACATCAACACACAGGGAAGTAAAACTGCAATTAAAGTAACGTTGTTAGGCGCGTGCTGGTGACACAGGCAGAAATAGAGGCACGGTGGTATTTTTCTTTCAGAAAAATATTGTGATCATTAAGAGCCTGTTTTGCTTTGGAGCAGCTGCTTCAGATGACTTTGGTTTAATTTTAGGAAGAGTTGTAGGTTATAGGAAAATGAGCGAAAGCACTGTGTTGAGACTGAATAGATTACTGATCAGATGGATGGTGTTTTACTTCTCAGGAAAGAGACATTTACTCTCAATTGCTGCTCGTTCCTTTAATCATCAGATCAGTCAGCTGTACTGTTGAGTGGCCTGTGCCAGCAGAGGATCACGATGAAAAGTTTGCACAGCGACACACTAAAACACTCCTTCACTCTTTTAACTCCCCTCATGTCCTTCCTGTCCCCACAGCTGTTTGTCATCGACAACGGAGCTGACGACTGGCGCATCGCCATGACGATGGAGAGGGTGTTGCTGATCGCACTGGAGCTGCTGGTTTCTGCGGTGCACCCAGTGCCAGGGGACTTTAAGTTTCAGTGGCGGGCGCGGCTGGCCTTCTCGTACGCCCCGTCGCAGGCTGAGGCCGACCTGGACATGGTGCTGAGTGTGCCCATGTTCCTGCGCCTCTACCTCATCGCCAGAGTCATGCTTCTTCACAGCAAACTCTTCACTGACGCCTCCTCCAGGAGTATAGGTGCCCTAAATAAGGTCAGAAGTGTTCCGTGTTTGCAGGTGTGTGTATGTGCAGTATGCGTCCAAAGAGTGTGGTTGTCAAAGCTTTGTCCAGAAAGAGGTGAGGGGGTTGTAAAGGTATTAAGGTCAAGAGCTCTCTCCTCAGAATTAAGTTTGTGTCCGCCTTGTCCTTTTTTATTCCTGGCCTCTATCTCTCCAACTATCTCAAGTCCTTCCTGCCTCTCCGTCCTAGTCACCCTGTTCTTTTTCATCTACCAGTTCAAATCCCTCTCTCCTTTTGTTATCGCCGTACATGGAGTCTTAGATGTAAGCTTTGGTGGATCTTTCATAATACAATATGAGATGGGAGCGTGAAATGAGAACAAGATATTGCGTACAGCTCAAATGGGGCATGAAAAGAAAGGACTCGAATGAGATTGCAATACGAGTGCAGGGAAACGTGTACAAGCCATGCAATAAATGATTGGTGCCATGTTCGTAATGACTTTAAACGATAAACATTATTGTAGAATGAGGAAGTGCGGATGTAGCGTGTGGTGGAAATATGCAAACTACAAAAGGGAGGAGGTCGGGGAGAGATGGAGTAGATTTTAGATGGGTAATTTAGTAGCGAGTGTATCTGCGATGGCACTTTCCTGACCCTCGGGCTGCAGGGACAGGGAGAGGAGGTGAAGCTGCCATTGAAGTGCAGCTCCAGCACGACAACTCATATATCAGATGCTTAACCCTTCCAGGGCTCAACGTAGCTCTCGGATCATCCATCTGCCAGAAGTTGATGACAAATGAGCCACAGATAAAAACTACACTGAAAAAGGCCAATTACTCAAAGACACTGTGTAGTTTGACCCAAGTCAGAGGGCGAGCCCCGATCTTGACTCCAATTACAGTGGAGATTCTCAGAGTGCTGCCGCTATCAAAAGCTGCTCAGAAGACTAATTAGTTAAACATCAAGTGTGTGTGTGAAATGGTGTACGGGATGAGGATTCAGAGCTGTGCTACACTAACCCATAAAAAATGTGTATGACAGTGTCATTCATCAGCTCTGCTATGTGTCCGTGTGCGTGTGTGTATTACAGGTGCATTTTAACACTCGGTTTGTAATGAAAACCCTCATGACCATCTGCCCCGGGACGGTGCTGCTGGTCTTCAGCATCTCTCTGTGGATCATCGCTGCCTGGACCGTACGAGTGTGCGAGAGGTCAGTAACAAAGCTGGCTCGCCTTTGTGTGCGCGTGTGTTTGTTCATGAGACAGAGTGACGGACTGTGATTGGATGAGGCATTCAACTGAGCAATTAGATTCAATTGGCAGGAAATATAATCTGGGACATGTGTGCAACATAATCCATCTTTAGACTTCAGTTTATGAGGCTTTCTCACCAGTTGTACACTTAATTTGATCCAGGCGATGGAGTTGTTACTTCATTTGTCCATTTTGTTTTATAAATCTACAATATAATAAGTGTCCTGAAAGACAATACTGTATTTTCGCCACCATATTCAGCACTTAGAAGGACGTTAACATTTAATCATTTGCCAAGAAGTATTCTCTTGTGACACATTTGTAACTGGTGTATAAAGCCATGATGAATGATTGATACCACAGTATAGCATAGCTGAAAATCACAGTACAGTACATGATATATAAATAAAGTTTTTAACTGTTTATACATGTGTGCATAGGCGTATTCACAGGTGCGTTAAAAACTGTTTATGACTGTGTTCAGAGTTGGGATGCCAATGGTAATGGTTAATCAGTTAACAGAGAATATTTTTGACCAGTTACACATGTCGGTCTATAGTTTAATTTTGTTACTCTTTAGTTTACTGCACTGCGCAACACCCGAGTCTGGTGGGAGCTAACGCTAGCCAGAGGTGCTGCTCAAGGCAATTACCACTTGTCCCGACCCGACAGCATTGCTGTGAAAACATTGTGCCCACTCTTTAGTCTCCCCCCAGGTCTCACTGCTAAGGAAGCTGCTTAGTTTTGAGTCGCAAACCCCTTTTTAGCACTGTTAACTTTAGTTATTGCAAGTTGTTTCAGCACAGATAGTGGTGCTAACATGGTTAACAGTGCTAAAGAGGTTTTGCAGCTCAAAATGAAGCCACTTGCTCACCAGAGCTACTTTGGAGGAGACCAGAGGGTTAGCACTAGTGTTACCAGGTACCAAGGAACAGTGCTCAGCCTTGCACCCAATTTTTCCCAGTGGCCACTCGTGGTATTGCAACAAAAAGCATTTTCCCCATATCCCACCACAGAGACATCTGTATGGCTGTTGATGACCTTAAACTGCTAACAAGGTCAACTATGACTGTCTGTTATAAATTGTTGATCCATGGTTTCTTATCTGTAAACCTTTCCTTGAGCTGAGAGAAGCCATTTTTAAATTGTGATAACATCACAATGTAAAGTCCATGAGCCAAGCAGGAACTCTTTGGTATATGTGCTAGGCAAGCAACATCATTGGAATGAATAGGCATCATCTTGGCATCCAGTATCTAGCTATTATTATAAATCTATGAGTATTGTTAGCTAAATTAGGTATCAGCTCGGCCAAGGCTAAGGTTAGCTATCCAGTGAAGACAGGAGGATGGGCAAGTCACTACATGTTAAGGCTGCTTACCGGCTGTCTGTTAGCAAAGCCATCAGTAAATAAAATAAAAGGTTGGACATTCACATCACTAACCAATACAATGTCACCCTCTCTAATGGAAAGTGCCTTGAAATGTGGTGCGAAAGCTAACACTGAGTCAATGGAGTGTCTTTTTGACCTTGGAAATCGTAGTTTGACAGAAACTGCATGAGCATAAAGACTGGAAACAAGGGGAAACAGCTAGCCTAACTCTTACTAAAGGTCACAAAATCCATCTACCAACGTTAGCTGTTGGCAGACAAATATGAATGATATAAATATTCTCATCAAAGTCTTGGCAAGAAAGCTAATAAGCTTATTTTCCAAAATGCTGAAACTTTGCTTTAACTTAAGTTTTACTTATAATAATTGTCATTGAAAGTGAAGAAATATTTATACCAGGAAATAAATACTTCATGAATAAAGTTAGTAAATACACATAAACAAAAACACTTAATTTCTCATAATCACAACTCCTGTATATTATATTATTAATCATTCATCATATGCAGTACACAGCTATATGATACTGCCTTAGAAACTGTCTATTAATTGTTTATTTACTGCTTGTAAATGCTAAATAGGGAGTGTTCTTTTGACATTTTGCAGAGCAATTTTAATAGTTTTTCTGAGGTTCATGCCCTAAACGTTTTTCTATACACACAAATAGAAGAATTTTATTGTACTTAAATACTTGAAACACCTGTTTTACACCTTAAAACAGTTGTACTATGGTTGTGCAGACTGGTAATTTGTTTAAAATTTGTTTTACATTATTTGAATCCAGCAGGCAGACGCTCAAATATAAAAATAGCTAGTGATATACTGTAACCGTCTCATTTTTACTGAGAAACTGTAAATCAAATTGTCTGCTCACATTCACAGACTGATAATCTGATTGTATGAATTATGTAATGCTATCAATGTAACATCAGATGGAAAGCAAAAAGTTTCCATCCCCTTCAATGAGTTTAAATGCTTCGGGAGTTAATCAAGGAAATATGGGAAAATGTCAGTTGGTTAATAAGCTTGATTAGATGCATCACTGACCGGCTGCTGGGAAGCCATTGTTTGTTCTACATCCAAGTTTAATTGGCATTTCCTCCTCTCTCAAACCAAATTATTGAAGGAAAAAAACACGGAAAACTCAATTAAACTGCTTCAAACAAGGTGCAAATTTGAGAATTCGGAGAATGTGTCCCTTTAGGACAGAGAATAGAGAGCTCAGTACAATTATGTCTATTGCCAACATCCAAGGCTAAAGCTTACGTGTTTCTGTGAAATAGTTTTTGAGAAAACAACTTTGTTTCAGATATGCACTAGGTGTGGTTGCTATGGCAACAGTGTTGTGCATAGGGCAGGAATGATGGCGGCAAGAGCTGCTGTTTATGTGTTGTGTTCTGTGTCAGGCAAAAAAAAGATGAGGTCACATGTTTGAGGTGTGACGCCCACATTTGCAGACAGGATCAGTGAGCCAGTTACTTTTTTTTTTTTTTTTTTTTAATATATCTTCCTCTATTGACTGACTTCATGCTCTGAACATGGACGATGTCTCTTTTTTAGGTATCACGATGCCCAGGATGTGACCAGTAACTTCCTGGGAGCCATGTGGCTTATCTCCATCACCTTTTTGTCCATCGGCTATGGAGACATGGTTCCTCACACCTACTGTGGCAAAGGAGTCTGTCTGCTCACAGGAATCATGGTCAGTACATTCCCTCCCTCTCCTTTTATCTGCCTCGCTCGCCCTCCCCTCGGCGCTGTCCTTGCCTCGTTCAAAGGTCAACAGATTAGAGAGCATGCTGTCATTTGCGAGAGAAATTCTGCCATTTGTGTAATTTGGGCAATCCTCCTTGAATTAGCCTGCATCTGTGCCTCTGTGTGTTTTGGGTGTGTAGGCATGCAAACAAGAGCACGTTAGGGGTTTGTGTGTGCATGCGTTTGTGTGTCTGTGTGTTATTCCCATGTCTGTCCTCATTGCATAATGAAGGTCCCACCTTTCAGTGTGCCATGTCCTCCCACTCTCTCTGTTTTTCTCTCTCTCTGTCTTTCATTTTCTTTCTCTACCACGACCTACCTCTCTCCCTTGTTTTGTCTCTCTCTGTCTATTTATCCCTCTGTCGCGCTTCTCCTCTCTGTCCGTCTCTCCTTCCCTGAGGCCATGTGTTTATTTCTATCCACCGTCCATCTGTTAGTATCAGTGTTTAAGCTGCCGACTGCTCCTCTATTTCATCACTTCACAGGTGTTCTCCCCTCCTCAAACTATTCATTTCTTTCCTCCTCTCTTACTTTCTTTCTTTCTTTCTGTCCTTATCTCATTTCCTGCCTCTGCTTTTGTCTAACCGGACAAGTTTTTGGAAATTAGTCCAATTGGTCAGCTCATTTAGAAAATTAAATACAGACACTACTCATCGTTTTCCATGTTATGACTGTAACATAGACTGTTCTGAATAACTGGGGGAAATTAGTGTCGTTTCAAATGCAAGAATATTTGATTTTTTTAATAGCTCTACAGCTAAATGTCAAGTAAATTCAAATTAAATGTGCTAATAAGTGCGGTGGCTTTTGCTGATTCTCTATAAGGTCAGGAAAGAAGAAATCAGACTCAAAATATGATCATAATAATAAAAGAGATGAAAGTCACTGCACAGCGTGTGCTCACCTGAGACGGGGATAATGTAGTTTCTTTAAAAAAATTATGCAATGATATTACTTTTCTGAATTACAGACTTATGTAATGCTTTAAGTACTACATTGTCAGTGTGTTTCTCAAAATGGCATCGCTACAAAAAAAGATGAGGAAGCTGCATGAGACATTTGAAATGTCACTTTCATTAACTAGATAATGCCATGGATGCCACTTTTGTCCTTTTTATGTTTTTAAAAAGAAGGATATCATTGCACATAAGTGTTAATAATGCCAGCAGTGTAGTTAAGCTTGTTAAAATAAATGAAAAATAAAGGCAATGTGCTCATACAAAGGAAGAACATTACTTAACATTTGAAAAAGGATCCCTAAACGCTCCTCAGATCAGTCAAGTTCCACGGTAAAATGTGATAATGTTACCTACTGGTGCAGTGATTATAAAACAAGCAGTAGAGCCTCTGAATTTTTCGTCTTCATTGAGAAAATAAGATTTTTATGTAATTTTCTTACCATCATCGCATCAGTTTTCTGTATTCAACATGCCTCGTCTTTTTAAACTAATGCTGAGTGTATTTTGTTAAAGTGCTCCTGAAGTCAAGCAGCAACTACCATGGCTGAGCACTGAAGGCAGTGTTGGAGTGCCTTAAGATGCAGTTTGAGGACTGCTCAATGATGGTTTAAGAAAAATTAAGAGAGCAAATCAGAAAGCCCTTAATATAACTCTAAAAATCAAAAGTCCATCAATATTTTCCACAAGTTAGTTGCTTCACTTGATGTAATTAGTAGTGCCACTTTAATAAATGATTACACCATTAGTCCCTGTAGTGTAAGTGCGTAGCACTGGCTGGATCATCTCCTAGGGTCATGTAGATGATTTTGGTGTATATGGGCCCTATCTTACACCTGGTGTCAGAACAATGGGATTGTCATTTTCAACACCCATGTTTAGGTCTTAAAATGAGGTGTGGTCAGGCACATTGATGGCGTATTGCGACAGTATTTTGAGGCAACAGAAAATGACTGTGCCTTTGACCAACAAAAACCTGATCTATAGTCCATGAAGTATTGTCTTCCTGCTATTTAAAAGGTACATTATTTGGACAATAAGGTGCATCTACATAGGCACGTCTACAATGTGCGTACACTCTGCTGGTTACACAAACAGGGACGAGTGGATGGGTTGCTATGCTACTTGCCGTTGGGTGAAATAAGAAATTATTAATGAGGAAAATATTAATTACATTCTCTAAAATGTGAACATAGCAGAGAGCAGAGCTGCAGAGCTGCTGTCAGACTCCCCATTAAGAAGGACGCTGTACCCATTTATGCACGAGAAGCAGCATAACTTCAGTGATGATTTCAGAAGCTAAAAGTGTATATCTACAGTTTTTAGTTTTGCTGCTTAAATGCTCAACAATATTTTTCTGCAGTGACATTACTGCTCTTACTTCATTACTGTCAGCATAAAAAAAAAGATGGCTTCTCCAGTATGCTGAATGCGCCATGTAAATAGCAGTGTGCCAGGTGCAGGTGCATCTGGCTTTTAAAGGGAATGGTAGATGACACTCTGATGGGTTGAATTCATGTTACAGCCTAAACACACCTATGATTAATTAAGGGACAGAAAATAACCCTTTTCCCCCTTGCACCTTATTCTGCGTCCCGATTCTGCACCATTTAACATGCAAAAGTGGAGTTAGACACGTCCTAAATGCACTTGCGCCATGCACTTTAGAACATGCACTATAGAGCATTCAAGAGGGGTCCTTAATTGCTCTATAACACCCCCAAAAAACCTCACTGTGTCTGTCAACCTGTTTACCAGCTCACCTTTTACTGTATAGTACTCTAAAAGTGTGAATAAACACAAAGACAAAGACACACACTCACACACATACACACAACAGACCCCCATTTGCCGGGTGAATCATCCAATCTGTGTTTTAGAGTACAACCCTTACTGTAATGTTAACACACACTCACAGAGACACAAAACACGGGGTGGATACAGAACGTCCCAAGCCCACTGTTACAGACTGCATCCTCCACATAACACTGACACAGAGCTTGACATACACTCTTCGTGTGACTCCCACACACACACTCTCCTCTGCTGTCACACAAACACACTCTCACTACTCTCTCCAGAGTGTTCGGAGTGGTTTATTTTCGTTGATCACTAGAGAAGGAATTGAGGATGCAGGTAGAAGGCGAGGCTTGCAGTGTGATGGGTGAGGGAGAGAGCAGGCGCAGCAGGCCGTGGGAAAGCAGAGCGTGGAAGTGAAGTGAAGAGAAGATTTTTTAAAAGGGGGAAAAGGTCGACAGATAGAGAACAGGATGTGATGTTTTTTTCTGGCTTTAGAATTATTATAATGAGTCTCTATAGGAGAAATCCTTGCCGTTGTTACTATGACAACAGATGAAAGCCAACAGTGTTGGAATATACCACTGCCCCGAGGCTACCTGGGGGTGTGCCAGGTGTTAGAGTGTGTGTTTGTGTGTCGCTGTGGGTGGATGGTGGTAGACTGCCACAGCATGTTGTTGTTCTTATATACAGCAAAAAGATGGATGTTGAATGTGGATCTAAATTACAAGTCATATCGGATGATCCAGTCCACGTGTGTTTGTATGTAATTTACATACTTATCCACATCCCCAAATACACCAACTAACGTAGTTGTATGTGGATAGAAGTGTTAATACATTTGTCAACAGCTACAGTATAACTCCTGGTGGATTAAAGGGCCCAGACACACCAAACCCACAGCAAAGAACTCGTTGCAACGAAGACCAACTGTTGCGTCACATCACGTCACTTGTGTAAGTTGCACTTAACACATCGTGAAGACTACAGCCAACGTCCAAGTAGCACATACTCTCCACCTGTGTAAGGGCAAATAGCTCTTGATACCAGAGGGTCATCTAACAAGGGCCAACAAGTGCCAACAGCGTGGGACACACCACAAAACTAGGGTGACAGACACTCACAAACGGCCCGACATTGACCAATGGCTGACCATCTGCTTGGTGTGTCAGAGCCCTAAGGGTTAATGTACAGCGAGTGAGTCATTATTGCGATATAAACCCTGAAAGGGTGATTTATTTATTGCTGTACATTATCCCACTTATAACTTATATTTTGACCCTAAATACAAATTTAAAAATGATGTTATTGATTCAAAAGTGATTTTGTTGCCTCCACTTACAGCCTATGATCAGATGTGCGTCCATAGGATAGCATCAAGAGTAAAGATGTATGACGTGACAGCTCCCTAAAAGTGAAGCCAAATCATCGGGTCGATCAGCCCATGGTGGCTTCCTGCAGTACAGGTCATAAACCCTGCCCACTTCATGTTAGTGGATAGGACATGGGCCAGACTAAAAACGACACTGCAAAGTACACATCAAATCAGATTTTCTCAAGGATTGTTTCTTGGTTTCTGTCATTTTAGGAAGTTCTTTCAAGGTTTTTTTTTTTTTTTTTTGATAAGTTTGATTGCAACTAGTTATTTTATGATATAAAAAGGGGGTGTGGCGTCACGATTGACAGCTGTGTGTGCCAGTCGCTATACTTACGATCAATAGACTTGCTCGTGACTGGTGGTACAGCAGGATCTTGATACCATGGAGATAGCTACTGTGCAGTCTATGGCTCCAATTGACATCACCAGCGCAAGATGGCAGTGGCCATATCAGAGATATTTTGCCTTCATTTTTGTACAGTGGGAGGAAGCGGAGATGTGTCGTCCATCTTTATTTGCAGTAAGTGTACCATCGCAAGGATATATTATTCATAGCAGTGGTCCGCTATTCAGAAATGTCAGACTGTCGAATGCCGTTATCTACCAATCAGAATTGAGTGTTCAACAAAGCCATGTAATTAAAACAGAAAATGAATGACAATAGAGTAAAACGTGGTTTTAGTTATCTAAATTATGTCTTCAAAGGAGACATTTTGATTGTTGACAAGCACTGTGCATTAGCAACACTTAATAATTGCCTCATCTCTGTATAAAATGACATCATGGTGTGTTAAAAAACCATCAATGAAGTGTTTGTGTACTGCTTAAAAATGCCAAATTAAGGGGGGGTAATTTAAGGTTACAGTATGTAAGTCATAGCGGGTGTAGCGGCATCTAGTAATATATAAATTTCTCCTGGTAAGAATTCCTTTAGTGTTTGTTTGTCAGGAGGTTTTTACCAGGAACAGAATTATCCGCAGCGGTCTGTTCCTCTCCAAAACAAACAGACTCGATGATTAAAACTGATACAAACACTAAATAAAGCAGGTTCATGTTAAAAAAAAAAGTTTTCTGATACTGCTTGTTGCAAAGCGCATGCTAACTACGGTGGCTAATGTGAAAATGGGAATATGCAGAATTCCTGTGGCCCTATCTAGACCAGTGTTTGGTTTGTCTGTACTGGGCTACTGTAGATACACAGAGCTACAATATGGCAATCGCTGTAGACAAGGATGCACTTCCTATGTAGATATAAACGGCTCATTCTAAGGTAACAAAAATGTAATGATTTTCAGGTGACTACACACTAACGAAAACATAATATTACATTTCATTTCTGCCAACCTATCCCCCTAATTCCTACACACTGGATCTTTAATGTAAAGTCTTACCATATGAATCTCTCTCTCTCTGTTTGTGTCTGTCTTTCATTTGCGACTACCTCCTGATACACTGTAGTTCTGGAAGGGTCATCAGGTTAAAGAGATGCAGAGTAGTTGCCATTACAAACCTATTTTGTGCTTTTGTCTGCCTCTAAGTGCTTGTTTTGTGCACTCCAATTGAGCAAATTAAATGTCACATTTTTGATGTAGCAAACATCTTCCCCTCTTTCGTCTGCGAGTTCCTGCTGACCTGTTTGGGAAACCATTTTCCACTGCACGAACCTTGAAGAGATGCAGTTGTTACCTGGAGTGGGTGGATGTTGCACAGGAGCACAGATGGGTGATTCCCCTCTTTTCTGACAGCGATGTAGACGGCTGCTGCTGTAGCCGAGGAGGCGAGGGAAACACCCGGGTGTATGAAACAAATCACAGCAGCGCAGCCATCATCAGCCATGTCACTCTGTGGAGATTGCACAGGGAACCCTGCTGAAATCAAATGGATGCGGGCGTATACACAAACAAACTCTCATACACTCACTCGCACGCACTCACCAGCACACGCACGCACATACACACATATCCTGCCATGGCAAATCAATCAGCGCCCTGCTGTTTTTGACCGAGAGGACAATTTTGAAAGCATACACAGTTGGGTACATGCACAATATACTGCACTTGTACATACTGTACCATAGCAATTCATCAAAGGCTGTTTTCCCTAAAGCACAGACATGTATGAACGCTCGAAGGGTTTTCCATCGGCACTCATCATATTTTATTCATAGTTTCTGAATAAACACAAATAGAGTGGATGAGTGTATAGACGTGGGCACTAATGCCTGTTTGTTTGCGTTACATTTTACTGAACCCAGCCAAAGTTATTTTTGGCAAACCTGTCTTATCGTTCGAGAGTGTGCACGATGAAGTCCTGGCTATTTCCTACACGCTTCAAAATGTTGCATGCTCCCTCGCTCCCGCTCTCTAACTCCTCTCCTTATATATATCTCTTTTATTCTCTCCCGTCCTTTCTCCGCACACACTCTCAAGCAGGAAGGAAGAGCACTCATACATTTTCATTAAACACTCTTAATCTTAATGCGTTACTTATCAGGAGATATGTGACCTCATTAACATTGCCTTCTTCTCCATCTTTCTCTCCTCCTATTCTGTGCACACACCCTCGCCTCCTGCATTCAACCCTCCATCCAGCCGCCCTCTGTGTTTTCTCCCTTCCCCATTTATATTTACTCATAGCTCTTCACTCTCTTTATCTTTTCCTACCTTTTTTTTTTTTTTTCCCTCTCGGTGCCTGCCCCTTCAGAGGAACCTGTGAGCACTCAACAGCCCCACTCAAAACAGTGTCTAATCTGGAAGTTAATTAAGTCTGTCTTCCTCCCTGTGTTCCTGCTCCTCTTCTCCTCTCAAGCATGCCTTTCTGGTTGAGAGACTGCTGTCAGTCTCTCCCACATGAATTTGCCGTTATGTCCCATGTGGGTCGAGCTGGAATACAGACAAACCGGTCCAAGTTACATACTTTTACACTTCCTGCAGGCCTCGAGCCTCTTGTGACAGGAGAAGACTGACACCACGTAATTCAAACTGACAGCACCCAATTAAATGAAATTAGGTGGTGTCAATCTTTGATGTGTTTTTTTTTTTTTTTTTTTTTTTTTACTCTATAAGGGAGATGTTTTTTTCAGCTCCATATAGAGGCGATATAGAAGGGATCTCACACCAGATGGATTGGGAGTTAAAATAGACTTGGCTTGCCGCTCAACATGAGGAAATGTGGATCTGGAACAGCGCTATCCCTCTTAATCCTCTCCTCTCTCCCATTCACTTCTCCTTCTGTCATGCGGCTCCTTTCCTCATATTTGTCCTCGTTCCCTTCAATCATCTGGGCTAATTCCCCGGCCAAAAGCCACCGATTTACCAATTCCTCCTCTTTACTGACTGACTCAGTGCTCTGTTTTCTCCTCCTCCTCCTCCTCCCTCCCTCCCTCTCTCTCCTCTCTCTCAGGGTGCAGGCTGTACAGCTCTGGTGGTTGCCGTGGTAGCCAGGAAGCTGGAGCTGACCAAGGCCGAGAAACACGTACACAACTTCATGATGGACACGCAGCTCACCAAGAGGGTGTGTAGGCTTGTGTGGAGTGAATGAGTGTGTCTTGCAGAAAATATAGCAAAACTATCATGTGTAAAAGAAAGCACACATTCTCTGAGTGGGACTCTAACACAACTGTATTTATAAAAGTATAGTTTTTATCTGTAATCTTCCATATGGGCAAATTTACTATATTTTCAGAGTTCTTTGGGATTGAAGACAAGGGGTGTGAGAGCCCGGCTAAACGGCTTGTCCTTTCACTGCCCCTCCTTCACCCTCCCCAACTACTACATCACACTATCACCCTGTATTGTTGTGACAGAGTGCCATGTTATTTGAGTGAGTGAAGGCAATAAAAGGTCATCTCTTTCTCGCTCTCTCTGTTCTGCTCCCTCACTTACCGTCTCCCTCCATCTTCCCGATCTTTTACCTCCCACATGGCCGTCCCTCCACCCTACCTCTTCCCCTCTCCGCTGACATTTGTCTCGCTTACAGTAAATCCCTTTTCACTCTCTCCCTCTGTCTTTCTATCTGTCACCTTCGCTCCTCTCCCTCCTTTTGTCCTTGCCCCCTCCCTGCCTCCTTCCCTCCATCTCTCACGCCCTCCCTCCTTTGGTCCTTTTCAATTTTTCATACAGTTGAAAGACCCAAGTTTTAAAAATAGCTCCCATATCAAATATGTAGGGTACATTATGGCAGCAGGGTATCTGGGTGACAGAACGTGGTTGGGTTATCAATAATTGCAGTGTGGATAAAATATCGACACAGACGCTGGAGAGACTCCCCGCTGGAGCCTGGCTCTCACCTCACCTTCCTGCAGGTTCTGGCCATGTCAGCCAGAATGTGTTTTCACAAAGTGTTTAACACCTTCAGGGTGTGTGTGTGTGTGTGTGTGTCAGCGGACCATCTAAAGCAGCAGTTCCCAACCTTTTACCCCCATATATATTTGGGGGCAGCCGTGGTTCAGGAGGTATAGTGGTCATCTGCCAATCAGAAGGACAGTGATTGGATCCTTGACCCTGCAGTCTTCATGCCGAAGTGTGTCAAAGTGTCCTTGGGCAAGACACGTAACCTCAAAGCCCTGAATGGAGGAATGGATTTTAAACAGGTTTTTATTTATCAGCATTTATAATATAAAAATGGATACTGTTACAATATTTTTTATGTAAGTACATAGTGGTCTTGGAGGCTTTTTTGTTATTTTTATCAATGCTAGCAATGGTGGGTCAGTCTACGGGTCAGTCAATCCAACCCTTTGGTCCACACTGAAATATCTCAGCAGCTATTGGATATATTTGTAGTTCCCAGAAGATGAATCCTGATGGTTTGGTGATGGGTTTCCCTCTAGATCTGTCAACAAGTGGACATATTTGGCTTTTAGTTGAATACCTTGACTACTCATGGATATATTGACATGAAATTAGCTTTGGCTGTACTTAGTATTTTGAGCTTAACAGCAAGCTAAGTTGGTGGGCATTGTAAGCGTTACACGTAATTGACATCTTGGATGTTTAAAGAGAACTAGTCACAGGAAGAGGGCACTGGGCTTGTAGGTCACATGATGCCAGTGGGTCCAATAAGACCTTTTCTCATAGACATCCATTGTGAAAGAGACATAATAGTTTTTAGGTACTTCCTTGAATGACCACTTAAATAGCTCTTAAATCATCCATCCATTTCCTGTAATTGCTTGTCTTCTTAAGGATTGTGGGGGGGCTACAGCCAATCCCAGCTAACACTGTGCAAGAGGCGAGGTACACCCTGTACAGGACGCCAGACTATCACAAGGCTGACACATAGAAACAGACAACCGTTGACGCTAACATTCACACACCAATTAACCTCACCTGCATGTCTTTGGACTGTGGGAGGAAGCCAGAGAACATGGAAAATAAACCCACGCTAACACGGGGCGAACATGTGAAGTCAGCAGAGAAGGGTCCAAAAATGGGTTCAAATCTGGAACCTTCTGTGAGACGACAGTCCTAACCACTGCACCATCGCGCAGCCCTAATGTGAATCATTATGTCCTAAAAGTTGTAAAATTTGTGTGAGTGAGCCCTAGACCAAGAGGTTAGGAGGTGGAATTAGAGGAAACACGAAACATAGTGCGCCTGCTCTATGGGCCCCAGGAAATGGAAGATCCGGGTAATTTTATACCTGCGAGTCCAACTTTTTTTGGCTTCATGCGCCACGGAGCAACTTTTATAGGAATGAACAGGGCCCTGTCTCCATCACTGTATCCAGTTTTATTTATACATCCATGCTTGACATCAGCATATTAGCATAGTCATTGTTAGCATATTAGCATGCTTGTGTTAGCATTTAACGCTTGCATTGCTGTAGACTCTTGTTTCAGTAGGTTTAATCAAGTTTGCGTTCATGCTGCTCATACAAATGAAAACTTTTTACAAATGACAGTTGGAGACCTTATACAGTTAATTTATTTGCAGCTTTTACTAGCTATACCAGCTTCCTAACTATTCTTTGTAGCTGCTCATGGTATTCAGGTGTAACAGTACAACAGACTCAAGTTGGTTGGAGGCATGTCCTGTGGAGTTGTGTTACCGTAGCTGGTTGTTGTGACTGTAAATATACTAAAGAAGAGCCTCAGGCTAATTTGTAATCCATTTCTAGGTTTATTTTGCTGATGAACACGTACAATATGTGGATATATTTTAAATCAAGTCATAATTAGTTTTCCAAATTTGTTAAGCTATTCTACAATCTTTCTAAGTACCCTGGCAACTGTAATCTCATGCTTCTTTAATCTTTAATTTTTAAATAAAAATTACAGATGGGTGACAAAGTGAAGGAAAAAACTAAATTGTTTTAGAATAGAGTCAGACCACCATGAGCCTCAAAAACAGCTTTAGTGCTCTGTCTGTGGAGCTCTAATGAAGGGAGGAACACCAGTAATTCACAAGACAGTCCCTCATTTATAAATATACAATCTTTATTTAAACTCTTTGAGATCAAGATCTTTTTTGTTACAGAGACATGAGTACAACAGTTAGGAGGAAAAACAAACACAGCCAGACTTAACAAAGGACATATAGCATCAGTCACAAATATCACTAGATAGATTGAAGATGACAGCTTATATCTTGTCATTTGGTGTCTTACATGTTGGTCAAGATCTTAGGTTTTCAGCTGGGTTTAGATCTGGTGACTGTGAAAGCTGTAGCCTTTTATTCACCTCATTTTCATATTAACCAAACCATTCATGACGTTTCTCCATACACATGTGCTGGCTTGGTTTGACATCAGCAGGGATTTGCGTCTCCATTTCAACAGGCTCCCCAACTGAAGGTATGCCTTTAAGTGATAACGCGCTTATCTTGAGTCATTAAGGTTTAAAAGCAGCGGACTGATCCACGGCTAAAGGTCCCCCGTTATTTTGCAGCAAGTATTTTACCATCACATACTGTAGCACGGCAGATAAAAGAAGTTAACCTGTTGGAGGTGAGCTGGTTGCAGAGGTGCAGTGAGAGCCTGCTGTCTGCAGCTCTTTATCACACACACTGTGACTGTTTCTGCTTGGACTGCTCCTTCCCAGACGTGTTTTTATTGAAGAATAGCTTCCAACAAAGTTCCGCTAATTCTGTGGTAAAGACATTTCATGTCCTGTAGATTCTGAACAATAAAGGTACCCTGTTTTTTTTTCATTCGTCAGCAAGATTTCATTGGTTGCTTAGTCGCAGAAAAAAAACAAACAAACAAAAAAAAAAACATATGACTGGACCATGTGGGAATTTAATTTGAAAGGACAGAAACAGGAAGAGGCCACGCTCAGCAGTCAGACAGGAGTCACGTTACAAACCAATCACAGCCGACAGATATCTTTCCCTTCTTCTGTAAATATTCAGTCTGATAAATACGGAAAAGTTGATCATGTTAGTGCAGGGCTACCCACAGCTTTACATCTGTCCCACAGACGACAGGCCTACACACTTATAAACAGCTCCTGGAAGAAGATCAGCTCTGCACTCAAGTGTGGGATCATTTTGAGAAGGTGAAGGACGAACCCAAGGTGATATGTAAACTTATCTTCACTGGTCGACTACAAACATGACGTATCATCTGAAACATGGAAGTAGCTACATGCCCATTAGCCCACAGCGTCACTAACAGGCGGCTCGCTCAGTGTGTGACGTGCACTTGTAGATAAAATATAGGCCTATATTAATGAAGGTTCATTAGTATGGTTTTGTATTTCTCTGTAATGTAGCACAGTGTTAACAGTGTTACTGATACTATTCTTTCTCACACCTTGATCTCAAACCAACAAATTGGTGTAGCCTGGTTTCACTCAGCGCAGCCAAATGTGCCAGTGGAAAAGCCCTATCAGTGAGCCCTGGTGCACAGAAGCATCTGCATGTGATGTGTCCACTCTCTTATTCAGGTTTTCCCTTTAATTTGTCCCCCGTCTGTATATTCTTTGTAATTTTTTTAATGAAGTCGAGTGCCGTTCATTACATACATACAGATCAAAGTGATGTCTATCACCCCCTAGATAAGGGAGAAGATCATGCCATACATTTTGAAAAGAGCGTTGTCTTCAATAAAGTGAAGCACTATCTTAACAAAGGCAGTCATCAAGTAAGGGAGGCGCCAAACAGGATCTTCATTCAACACAATGCAGCGTGCTGCTTGGTGACATTTCCTTCAAAGGGTCTCCGGTTTATGCGGTGGTAATTGTCTCATGCCCTCTATTACTGAGAGAGCAATGATTGAAGCTGTTGTATGCACATTGATTTACATGGCTGGGGCCATTCTCTGCCATATCATCGTAACAACAGAATACAATCACTCAAGGCTTTATAATGAATAATGCAGCGATAGACTTTACATCCTGCTGTCATCGTATGTGCACGCACACACACAAATAGACACAAAAGCACACCCACTGGCTTTCTACATCAGTGAAATGGCGTTTCCTTCCCTTTGAAGGATTATCAAGAATGTCAATTAAATGCCAATCAGCATCGCTCTTAGCCAGTGGACTGTGTTGCTGGTAGTGTCTGTGT